CGCTAACATTAGCCGTTCAGTAGTTATTCAAAATTCAAAATTTGGGGGCCCCCCTGCCCCCCCAGGGGGCTCAGATTTTTGGGGTCTATGTCTGAATCGAATGTCTATAGGGTAGAGATGAATCCCTGAAATTTTCATGCTTTCTTCCAGAAGTGCACGATTCTTATGATATTTTCCACTTATCGGCCCCACTACCAGGGAAACCGTAAACGTCTAACAACTATCGTGGCCATTGGGGCGATTATTGAAATGATATCGACTGTATGTCGCCGCTTACGACAGGACATAGCCCTATCTTAACTGTGTAATATATCGCAATTCGATATTGTTTTGATTCTTAAAAGGAGCAATTTATTCATAAAGTTCCGATTAGTTTTGGCGAACTACCGTCCCCAGAGCCGCTTTCCGACGCGAATGCGTTGGAGCTTACTGCTTGTTTAATTTGTCCTCAATATACGTTGTGCGAGGTTTTCTCAAGATTCATTAAGATAAAATCCACAGATCCAGATATCCCACAGAAAAATCAACTTCATGTTCAGCATTTTTTGTCAAAATACGTCAAAAATTTTCAAGTTTTTGGTTTCCTCCAGATTCATAAAGATCATTGGCGGATCCAGCAAATTGGTGACACTGTTTTCCTCCATTTAAACCTATGTTAAATAATCGATTCTTGCCGGGGCACCTGGTCCCTCCAAGAATCGATTATTTAACATAGGATTAAATGGAGGAAATCCGTTGTTGCCAAATTGCTGGATCCGCCCCTGGGATATACCGATCCAGATATTCCACAGAAATTTCAACTCCACGTTCAGCCTTCTTTGTGAAAGTACCTCGAAAATTTGAAGTTGGCGATTTATTTTTCCAGATGCTACATGCCTGTATGAATCTAACGACCAACGAGATGTTCAACTATAAACGATATTCTTACTTGAGAGACAAGAGGGGCAAATACTACAACGTCTTCTCTCGCGGGCCGTTTTTCAATCTGATGGACTTTTTCATCTGTAGCGGAAGGACTCAGCTGGACTGCGACCTCTTGACGGAGGAATTTAGCTGAAAATCTCCTTTCAATTGAATTCAAGAACTCGGCTTGGCTTTCAAGTCATCATGCTGACACTCGGCTTTTTTATGCTAATAGAGCACCAGGCAGGTTTAAGCACCATTGGAAGCCTTTTCTGCGGGCCGATTATTGAAATTGATAGACAAAGCTATAGACAAAGGAGACAAAAGAGATATGGAGGGATCCTATTGGTGGAAGCGGGTGGTTGCAATGGACAAAAGGAGGTAGGTAATAGACTAACTAACGGCAACCCACGAGAGATCCGACAGTTAGTCTATCATTTTCTCCCTTTGTCTACAGGAACCACCCATTTCAACCGATAGGATCGCTCTATACTCCTTATGTCTTCTTGGTCTATGGCTTTGTCTATCAATTTCAATAATCGGTCCGCTGCCAAGACATGAGAAAAGAGATACCACTATTTTAACCTACGGGAGCGCGAGTAGTATACCTCGTCAAATGAAGGCGAAACGTTCCCAAATACCAGAGGTCATCGGAAAATAGACCAATAATTTTAATTCACACGGAATGCTTCTTGGCGCTTAAGCATGCACGTCAAATTCCACTTGCAAATGCATATATGAGCGAGGTTTTTTTTAGATAAGTTTACTCATATTAATATTCGAGAACTCTCACATTCGGAAGGAAAAAAAAGAAAGAAAAAAAAAGTTGAAATGAGTTAATTTTCGGCTTCCCGATGAAATGCATGATTTAATATTTGATTCATGTGGTTACCTCGCTTTCATTTTTTTTTTTTTTTTTTTTTTTTTTTTGCTCTTCCCATTGAATTTTCTTTATTCAATATATATAGGACTACAGAGTATTAACTATATTTCTTATAACTAAGAACTAAAACTACTTTATAATAATGGGTGGGCTGAAGTGCCAGCCCTAGCTAAATTACAATATGTACAGTGACTGTACATAAGGATTAGTATAAGTATTGAAATATGTGTATAAAAATTAAAAATAAATATAGATATTTACAAATGTTTGGATCTTAATTATTATGCCCCCCTACCCCGCTGAAAACAACAAAAGAAAGTAAAGAGATGGGTAATTTACACGAGCGACAGTCGTCAGACACAATCAATAGCAATAAAAGACATTGAGATAAGAAGTGCTCGGTGTTAGAGCGCATCGGTTCGAAGTGTGCCAAATGATGGAATTATTTGGGGAATTACAAAAGTCTTTTACTAAAAAATTCTATGAAAGTGACTAGATGAAAGTAAAAACAAGGTGATATAACGACTGTCTTTTGGGGGTCGCTTTCATACAATCACCTCATCACTAACCGTACTGGCTCTTCCCATTGAATATATAGCTTATAAAGTTGAGGCTTTAATTTTGGAAGCATTTTTACGTCATAAAATAGCACAATTTCAATTTTATAACGATCTCTTTTTTATCAATTGCTGTAAAATTATTAAAAGGACGCATGAATTCTTCGCACTGACCTTATAGCGGTTGATGTATTTTGACATACGGATGCAGCATATATAAAATTTCCCCACGCACAGTGACGAAACGGAAAAAGAAATTGATTGAATGTTTGTAGACTTTGAACTTTTGACTTACAAATAGTAGGGAACTGTGAATCTGTGGCGTGGCGTGCTTTGCGATAAATCGATTTATCTCTCATTTGAACCAATTGAATAGGATCGATAAGCAGGTTGTACACATCGAACACCTTAATAATCGATTCTTTTCCATGGCTTCAAAAGGGGAAGTATCGATAATCGACCATTCACGCCTCGCCACCACTGAAAATACGCCCATTTCTAGGACTCATGTTGCTTAATTTCCCACCGTTCAATAACCATAAAAAAATTGTAAATTTACTTGAAAATTTTCCTCGTGATAATTTCTTCAGACGATCAAGCTTAAACTTTGCCACAATCATTTTTTTGAAGAATATTTAACACCTAAAGGTGTTTTGACACCGTAAAGTTTAAGGTGTCAAACACCGCCCCATTTTGTAAAACCATGAGTTGTTCTTAGTTTATTGCATTACAATGTTATTTAGTAGACTTACAATTTTAACCTTTTATTCACGTTGCATCATTCAGAGTGATGAGGCAAAAATGGAGTATTGAAACAGTCTGGGACGAACTGTAATGAAGAAGTTTTAGCTTCTTGCTCCACTGGACGCTGCAGCAGGTTCCGATATATCGATTGATCTGCCATTTAAATCAATGGAAAAGGATCGATAAACAGGGTGTTAGCAACGAACACTTTAAAAATCGATTCTTTACCATAGCTTCAAATGGGTAGATATCGATAATCGATCATTCGCGCTTCGCGACTGGTTGCCGTATTTGCACAGAGTATTGATTTTTTCCGTCCCTCTTTTTCCTCTCCGTAAATTACGGAGGAAAGTATGATGTAAATCGGCAATAATGTACTAATCTAATTTTTTACTTACTGTATGAGGTTAGTGTTGTTAAAAGACAAATACCTTTTCAGAATAGCCTGGCACTGTCGCTAGAAATGTCGACGCAATGTGATAAATGCTCTAAATTCTTACTTTAATAAAGTATTGTCTTTTTTAATACCTAATTGGGCATTTCATTCACATTTCAAAACGTTTTAAAACTTTATGGCAGTTTAAGGCGGATAGATTGCGCATTTATATTGAAAAAAGGGAATATTCGGTATTGATTTTAAACGACTTAGCGCCTATACAACTCTTAATGGCTAATGAAAATCGAAGAAAGAAGGCAAAGTTTTGAAACAAACACTTTATTTGAGAATTTTCTCCACGTTCGGGCAAACGAAATCTACTTATTATAAACAACTTAAAACTAATACAAAATTACAATATTTACAAATAAAATAACTATCACTAATAAATTAGGTATTATGCTCAGGAATTTAAAGCCCATTTGTTGAGTATATGACACTTTTAAAGTGCCGTTCCCAAATTGACTGCAAATAAGTATAACTTAACACTTCAATTGACTCGTCCGTCAAGAGCTTGCCCAAAATGACGAAATAACCGCTCCAGTAATAACTCGAAATTTAAAATTAAAGCATTACAGCAAAATTACAAGCTAATGCTTGTAATTTTGCTGTTCAATAGTCAGGTTAGGAGGTAAATTTTATGAGCAATCGATCAGATAAAATTCTATTAGAATTCTCATTTCGTATCTTTTTTTTGCCCCTTGACAAATTTATTTGATGCTGTACGAAAGAACATCCGTCTCTTTTTCCTAGAGGCGGATCTAGCTGGTTAGTAACCCTGAATTTCCTCCATTTAAACCTGTGTTAAATAATCGATTTTTGTCGGGGCACCTGGCTCTTCCGAGAATCGATATATTTTCATAGGTTTAAATGGAGAGAGGACAATTTCGGAAACTTTCTAGGTCCGCTAAGATACAATTCATAACAAATCAATATGCGAGTAAAGTTCTTTTAAATTTTGAGAGAAAAAAATCGACTATAGTTGTTCTAAAAATTCTCGTTCATCGTTAGGAATTTGGCTGAACTTGAATGTTCAAACGGTTTTTTCCCTTCGCACGGAATTTTCACGATCTTAAGAACTGGCCAATTCAAGCCATCACAGCCTATCGAAGGGCTCCCGCCTTCAACGCTTTTTTTGAGTTCATGGGCTGAAAGATTTAGTCATTTAGAATTCAAAAATGTAGATGGTATTACAGAGTAATTCACACTTTCGGGCTTCTGGAGTCTAAAATCAAAAATTGAGAGGAGGGGCAACTTCAAACTGCCAATCTATTTTTTGCCGCGTCTCCTCTTAACGAACCCTCATGGACTGCATTTTGCAATTTGGAACTATAAATTCTACCTCCTCTGAAAAAACACTCATGTGCATAGAGAAACTAATAGCACATACGTTGTTCATAAACCGGGCTAGAATTTCTAGTTCCAAATTGCAAAATGTAGTCCCATTATACCTGGACTTCACCTTCCTCCCGAAGTATGGCAATTTCAATTTCCTCTCAGGACATTTCATTTTCAGAGCCTAATTGAAAATCGTACAAGTTGGATGCGTGGCAGAACTGATCGTCATCTATCAACATCTCTCGATTCCCATATCGTTGCCTGAAACAATGAAATAAAGTGAAAATGAGTAAAGTAAAACATGCGTAAACTTAACACCTTTGACCGCCCAAAGGAAAAAGACCTCGGGTCCGAAAAACTCGAAATTGAATCTTAAGTGCCTCCTCATAGATAAACACCAGAGGGTTGGTCATCGGAAAAATCGAATACCAATTTTCACCGCAGTTTTGACGATATTTGACTTAAGTTTCATACAGAAACCTCAGGTTTATTCTACTTCGAACGATCACAAATCGCATGGAAAAGCACTGGATTAATTTTTAAAATAAAACGAACGAATGAAATTCAGTTCATAGATTAAAGAAGTAGAACTAGGCGGTACCATCCAACACCGAAAGAGACACCTCGTTTTAGTAAGTGTCAGCCACTACCTATCACTACCTACCTATCAGTACTGCCGTACTAAGAAATAACGCCGTATGAGCCTTCAAACGTTGCCATATTTCTTTCAATAAAAAACAAATTTACCAGGCAAAATATAGTTATCATTCTTTTAACATTTTCAGACAATTTTGTTCTCAATTCAATCTCTCTGAAAATTTCAAGGAAAAATATGCATAACTTTCCTCAAAAATGCATTTTTTTCCGAAGACATTCGGCAACTCTCGAATGTTCATACGACGTTTTTCCTTAACACGGCAGAGTATGCGTCAAGTCCGTCACATCACTGTCCAGCCTCACGAAACAGAAAGCAATTCCGCATCATATAAAGTCAGCTCAGGTGATTAAAATCCGACGTAGTGCAAATGATAGGATTATGTATTTAAGAGCCTCTCATTCCTACTTGAAATTGGACTTATTTCTATCAAACGGAACTATGTGCATTATGACGTGAGCCCTGTTATGCATGTATTCTTATGAGTCTCAGGGCTCATGTGCCCTGGTAAAAATTGGCGATAGGAGCTGCGTTTCAAAATACCATAGGAGTTCTTATAGCCGACTAAAGAGGGCTATTGAAAATCATATAGCTGGCCGTAGAAAGCGGAGCAAATCATATAGCCGGGCTATACGAAGCTATAAAAAAGTATTCAGTCGGGCTATAGTTCCTATCGCCGGGCTTTACACTTTATCGCCATTGGCTATAAAAGGATATGAGAAATCGTGTAGAAATTCGTGTGCTTTGGAAATCATTAAGTTTGATACGGAACTACCTTAGTAGTATTTACAAAACATTATATTTTCCTTCAAAACATATTTTTTTCATCAATTAAAATGAGAATAACCCATACAGAGTGTGCAATTATTTCAAAATCATGAGTTGAAAAACGCTGACTCCGCGAGATTAAATATTAGAGCCTGACACAAAGCGGAGCGGCGACGCACTGGCGCGGCGCCTACAAACCTAACAGGGATACTTCACGCATTGCGCAACGCGTGAAGTATCCCTGTTAGGTTTGTAGGCGCCAATGCGCGTTTCGCGCTCTCTGCCCGCCCGCCGCGCCGCAGCTCGCCACGGGGTCTGAAGCAACTATTTCACACCAGAGGTATTGCACAGTATCATAAGAAATGGAAGGCGCTCAAACATATTAAGAATGACAGGCATCCTTCAAAAGTACGGAGCTTTCCTCGCAAAATAAATCAAGATACTACGGCACAAGAAGAGAGCGGTAGTCCGAAAACTAACTAAGTCCTAGTATCCGTATTTAGTAACGTTTAGCATAAACTTTATCGTCTGGCTGTTGCTTAATCGCCATCGGCTATAAAAGGCCTATAAGAAATTGTACAGCCGGCTATAGAAGCTATTGGAAATCTTACAACCGGCTTTAGGTCTTTGGTATTTTGGAACACAGACTCTACTGCCAAATTTTACCAGGGTGCACATGGGCTCAGGGGCACAGGGCTCATGTCTTTAATGCACATAGTACCGTTTGGCAGAAATACGTCCAATTTTAACGAATCGTCGGGGGCCCGTTGAGATTACTACATCATAATACTTTGTACATTCGCACAAAGCATTGATCAATGGGGCCAATGAAACGCAGTGCTTCAGCTTAAAGAAAAAACATGACTTCTTTGAGATGTAAAAAAACGAATACGAAGCTGAACGCCTAACAAACGTGGTAAACCATCGGCTTATCTTTAATACTCGAAACATGGAATTAAGTTATGACGTAAATGTATAAAATAACCTCAGGGTCAATGATTTACGAAGAATATTCTGTCAGTGGGTTATGAACGCTTGATCAGTTCGGAATTCTTCCTTTTGAGCCTAATGGGTCAGTTGCGCGTCACATGCAAAATCGTGTTTTGATGTTTGAGGCTTACAAATTAGACATTCAAAATAATCCGCTTGAACTGAATGCAATATTAACCGAGATATTGCTCTCCCAAAAACATTGTCTGTGACGTCACCTTGGGCATGGCTTCTTTTGCTTTGATGAGTTTACCACTTTGTGAAACGGATATTCGCTGGACAACTTTGATTGAAACCGAGGTTCGATAAACAATGGTTTGCCCTAAAGCAAAAAATGACGTCAACTATCAAGTTGTTTCAATCTTCATAATTTTTCACTAATTTATAACAAGTGCGACGATACGTAACTTATTTCGCTAACTATCGGAACAGGAGTGGCTGACACAATTGGCCATGTTGCGAAATTAGACCAAAGGATTGCTTCTTAAGCGACTTAACGGATTGATGTTTGAGGAAAGTTTCCTTCAAAATGTGTTTTGCGTCGTAAAATCGCACTTTTCATAGATAGCAGGGACGCTTCCACTTTAACATAGTCCGTTCGTTTCGGAAACCGTATGTAAGTACACTTCTCGAAATTAAAATGCGTCAAACTATGATCAAGGTACTCGAAACACCAAAATTATCTCAATTAGACAATCCCACCGATATGTTAAGGAAAACATACCTAAAATTTTATATATATCTTCCTTTTCCCGAGATACCACAATTTAGTACACTTATAGAGCTCAGGAGGAAAAAACAAATCATCCGATGTCAAAGTGCCCCGAGTTTACTAAAGAAAAAAACTGCAAAAATGTGTTATAACTTGATCTAATACGCGAGTGTTATTGCGTCGCACAATGCATCCAGTCAATAGAAGAAGTCAGACAAAATCTGGACAGTTTGAAATTTTATATTTTCGAAAATATGAAACCAAAAACGTTTAAAGGTGGCTCCATTGGTTTTCCGTGATATTTCTTTTCAGAGGCACCCTTTGAAATTGAATTTATGACGAAATGAACATAAAAATTTGAAATTTTAGTCCTAAATTTCATATCCGATCTCTTCTATTTAGTTGGTACTCCAATGTGCTACGTTGTGTCATGTCGTCACGCATAACTCACACAGTTGAAGACGGCTCCTGAATACAGCTAAACAAACATATTGGATGTCCGTATTGCATATACTAAAAATTGAAGGCGCTCTAGCGCTCTCGATTCCTAAGAACAGTGGCGTGACGTGAATTGCGATGCATCGATTGTTCTACTATTTGGACTACATTTTGCAATTTGGAACTATAAATACTAGCCCGGTTTAAAAACAACATTAATGTGCCATTAGTTTCCCTATGCACATAAGTGTTTTTCCAGGAGAGCCAAAATTTATAGTTCCAAATTGCAAAATGTAGTCCATTTAAACCTATGGTAAAGAATCGATTATTAAGGTGTTCGCTGCGAACACCCTGTTTATCGATCCTTTTTCATAGGTTTAAATGGCAGAACAATCGATACATCACAATTCACGCCACGCCACTGAAGAACGCCTGAATGCAGCTATACTTAATGTATGGATATCTGTGCTGCAAACACAAAAGTTGAAGGAGCTCTAACTTTCCCCACAGCCAAACCGTACAGCAATGTCAACACTGCGATATTTACCTTTCCTATTTCTGACATGGGGGAGGGAGGAGGGCAAAAGCTGCACGTAGAGGGAAGAATCTAGGACCGCCCTCTTTCCCTATGGCTCTACATTGGTCTTGTCGACTACGTTTTTTTTGACATTGAGGTTCGAAAAGAAATCATGCCTTTGCTTGATTCAAAGCACCTAACAGCTCCAGATTGTACAAATCACTCGGTAAACTGTGCAAACCATTATAATCAGGGGTCGTAAACCTTGGCGTGGCATTCTTTGCGATAAATCGATTGATCTGTCATTTAAACCTATGGAAAAAGAACGATAAACAGGTTTTTCAATAATCGATTCTTTACTATATGTTTAAATGGCATTTATAACAATCGATACATCGCAATTCACGCCACGCCACTGGTCTTGAAACAAACTCAACATTCTCGCCGCAACTTTCAGGCGTGCGTAAACTCGTCAACAAGATTTGAGTGGCTTGGAGGACAAGGCGCACCTTGTACAGTTTTTGAAAAATTGAGATATTAAAAATTTTAAATAAAACAAAACTAGTACTAAAACTCCTGATGCATATTCTGTGAGAAATTCGCTCCAAAATTCCAATTTCCACGAGCGTCAAAAAGTTAGTTTGAACTTTCTTTCCGCCGTAAGGATACATGTAATTACGGAGCTTCAAACACGTATTCCAGGGAATAGCAAAAACTGCACTTATGCGCCTTGTAATCCAAGTCCTCCTAGCCTCCAAAGCCTCATTTGGGCCTTTGTCAGATGAAGTTGGCGTTTGATCACTTTTGACTTTCATGCGTAGAAGACGTGTCGTATCACTGTGTACTAGTCGACCTACGTCAGTCGAAAGTTGACAAATTTTAAGTTATCCGACTCAATTTCTGCTAAATTTTTCTTCTTTTTTTAGTAAAAATTGAGAGACATAATACATTAAGTTTCACCTGAAATTCCGATTATTCCGAGATATCTGTTAAGAGAACAAGGCTTCTTTTGTCAAAACTAGGGACCTTCCAACCACTGAGAAAAAACTGCACGTAAAATATCGTGGAACAACTATGTTCAAGTTATTTAAGAAATTAATGGATTCAAAAACCGACGGGTGCATGCGAAAGAGAACGTTTTTACAAGGACATTATTTTTAATCGATGTTTTTGAAAAGCTA